CCCCTCCCCAAACTACCGTCTTCCGCCGAACATAATGCACCCTGATTGTGAACGTATACAAGCCGTTTTTCCGGTAAAATGCAGTCACAATGAGATGAGGGTGCGTTGTGTTCGGGCTCAGCGCACGATATTCTTCTTTAGTAAATTTCAAGGTGTTTTATTCTTTCTTCCCTCCCTTCTCCCCTTCCCCCCCCCCCCCAAACTACCGTTGTCCGCCGAACATAACGCACCCTGATTGTGAATGTACACAAGCCATGTTTCCGGTTGGATGCAGTCATAATGAGGGCGCGTTGTGTTCGGGGAAGGAAGACGGGTAGGACTTCCTTTTGTGGAGTGTTTTACTGTAATTGCGATTAGATACGTCCTGGAGAGTGAATCGAGTACGTAATTGCGATCAGATACGTCCTGGAAAGTGAATCGAGTATGTAATTGCGATCAGATCGTCCTGGAAAGTGAATCGAGTATGTAATTGCGATCAGATACGTCCTGGAAAGTGAATCGAGATTTGTGTGGCCTAATGTGGGATGGATATTCCGTCAGAAGTTTCTACTAGGATTAGTCCACCACAATTGTGCTACCAAGTCCGTATTCACACTAGTGTTTTTTTCTGGACTGAATCTGGCCGTAATTGCAGTCAGATACATCCTTGAAAGTAAATGGAGTTTGCGACCTAACTCTCGAGGATTATTCCACCACAATTGTGCTACCAAGTCCTTATTGACACTAGGTAGTACTGTTTTTTTCTGGACTGAATCTGGCCGTAACTGCAGTCAGATACATCCTTGAAAGTAAATCGAGTTTGCGAACTAACTCGGGAGGTTCATTCCACCACGATTGTGCCACTAAAGCCTTATTCACACTAGCACTTTTTTTTGGGGGGGGGACTGAATCTGTCTGTCATTACCGGTCAGGTACATGCGAACTTTTTTTTGGGGGGGGGACTGAATGTGTCTGTCATTATCGGTCAGGTACATGCGAGAAACTTGTGGAAAGTAAATCGAATGTGTACCACTGTGTGCCCTAACTCGGGAGAGGATCATGTACGGAATGAAGGGCCTCGCTCCAACGCTCACCAAAATGTGCAGAATGCGAATGAATCTGACGCAAGAACATGGAACTATTCACTGCCGTAGAATTTGTCTTTTGTGCATGTGGTGAGTGGTGGAGCGAGGCGCCACGAGACACTGTCCGTAGAAGATCAGCGGCCAATAATAATATTTTATTATTTTAATAAATTTTTCGTTTAGTAATCCATGCAAGTGGGGACCACCACCTGGGCCCCAGTCAGTGGGGGAAGTATTGCATTGACCTGAACATTTCTGTTAGTGCGTACCTGGACCGAATGGTCGAACAGGACAGGCTTTTTCACAATGTACTTGGACGGGTTTTTGTCTAGGTACTTGTACGTGTTGTTGACAGGGGGACGCTGCCCTCTTCCAGCCGTAAATAAAGAATTCGCCGTCTGTGAAAGATAGATAACCGCTATTCAAAACAGAAGTGCGGCTGTGAGATGGATTGATTCTTTTATTTTATTTTTTTGAAGTTTTAAATACCTGAGGACTAGGCTACCAGAGTGGCCCGGGGTCACTTGCCCGCCCGTCCAAAAAAAATAAAAAAATAAAAATAAATTTATTCTAAATTTGGTGAAGAATTTCGATGTAACCCTGAGGCAAAAGTTGTTTAGTTTATTTTTCTGCATAACATACTTTGTTTTCAGATTTTTTTTTTTTTTTTTTTTTTTTTTGCTGGGAGTTTCCTGGTCCTTGCACGGGCTGGGGACCCGGGACCCGGGCGGCCCGGCTGGTAGCCTAGCCTGAGGACGAATTAGTTGTCATTCCTACTACGTAAATCTATTTTTAAGACACTACTACGATTTTTTGGCAAAAAATAAAATTATTATGTTTGTTTTTGCTACACTTGTCTGGCAGAGCAGTAGACAGTCTTTTTTTTTTTTTTTTTTTTTTTTTTAGGGGTCATTCCGCAGTAGGGTTCAGAGAAGAAGAGACCTGCAAATGAAAGCCGATGGATTGCCGTGTGTGTGTGTGTGTGTGTGTTGAGAGAGAGAGAGAGAGAGAGAGAGAGAGAGAGAGAGCAGAAAAGACCAGCGAATGAAAGCCGATGGATCGCGGGGTGTATGGGGGAAGACAGAGAGACAGAGA